TAGAAATTTCAGTGTTTTAACAAACATCCACACCATTTTCCTGCGTGTCTGTACTTGTCGCCCTTGTCACCTGCAAGTTATGTCTGGCCAGATTCTCTTTTTATTCTGCAGTCCAGACGTGAACATTGTGGCCATAGGCTGGGCTCCTTTGCGGGGCCATGGCTATGTTTGGGTGCTTTACTCATAGTCTCTGTCATCTTTTGGGCACAGATACGGCTTTCAGAGCTGTAGAATGTAGGTCTCCCATCTACTGATAGGTGCGGATGTGAGACTCTGGCTGTGTTCCGCTAGGCATTGGCCCTTTGAACAGGGATGTATCTCCTTGTGAGTAATCATTGCACTCCCTCCATATGTGCTCTGACCAGAATCCGCACCTTGTGGAAGAATGAGCAATGACCCTTTATGTTACACAGTGAGTGCAGACACTGTAGATCTAGGAATGCTGACCTCTGAATTGACGGTCTTGTTTATGGATCTCTGGTGGTGTAGCAGTTAATACCTGCAGCTGTCAAGATGGGCATTTTGAACGCACCAGTCTCTCTGCAGAACAAAGATGAGGCAGTCTGCTCCTGTAAATATTCACAGCCTATGGGAGCATTCTCCTCCATCTGTGTCTTGATGGCTTGGGTTTTGTATGAAATTATCCTTGATGGCAGTGGGTTTTGTATGGGATTATCCTTCTCCCTTCAATCTGGGTGTGGTTAGCAGGCACCTCACACACTGACAGCCTTCCAAATCCCTGCTTGCGGATGTGAGCTCGCTGGCCGGACACTTCTGTCTTTGGGTAAGATTGTGAGATTTCTTACTCAATCCTATTGAACTATCTGTGGTCATTAAATTTGACGTGTGATCCCTCGTGTAGGACAGATAGACAGATAGATTGATAACCCGATCTTGACCTTGTCTTCCATTTATTATATGTACAAGACCTCCTGCTTTGAAATCCATGACTGTTATTTACCAGGATACTTACTAAGTCCTTGGCCTCCTTGTGCTGATTTGCTCTTCTCTTGAACATATACCCCCCTCTGCTAAAAAAAAAAAAAAAAGATAGATAGAATCCAAGCAAACTCAATGCCTTTGATTTGGCTCCTAGTGATCCCTTCTTTGGATTCAAAGACAGTATCTCTATGGAAGTAGATCACCCAGTCTTCCCTGCAAGGAGTGATGGGTGACTTTGAACCACCAGCCTCCTGGTTAACAGTCAAATGCCTTCACACAATGCCACCAGAGCTCCTATGTAATATATACATATGTATGTGTATGTATATGTGTATATATATGTGCATATGTGTCTGGTTCATGTTATTGTAAAATTATATGTAACACATTAATGACCACTTCACCCTTTTTCTGGTTTACAAATTAGTGATGTATACATTAGTCCAGATGTTTAACCACTACCCATTATTGATGCCAATGTTCCTATCACCATGGAAAATATGAGGGCCTATAGTATCTGTTCTTTCTTAATTGACTTACTTCATTGAACATAATGTCTGCCTGAGATCATCCATTTTCTAACATATGTTCATTTCATTTTATGGCTGAGCAGTATTCTATTGCATGTGTATACCACATTTTGTTTTCATATTTCTTCTTTTCAGGGGCAGGAAGATTGTTTCCACCTTTTTCTAATAGTTCTGCAATGAACATTGGAGTTCTATAACTATTTATGTTTCTGCTTTTAGGTCTGTCAGACACATACCTAGGGGTGGAACTGCTGGGACATATAGTAGTTTGATTTTTAACTTTTGGAACAATTTCCATACTTTTTTTTTTTTTTCCACAACAGTTGAATCCTTTTACATTCCCAGCAGCAATGCATGAGGATTCAGGCTTGTCAGAATTCATTATTATTGTTATCATATTTCCTTTTACTCTGGAGAAGAATTTTAGTTTGGCAGCCTAATCATTTTGTGCTGGTCTGCTTACTGAAAGGTTGGCTGTTTGAATGCACCAACCACTCCAAGTGAGAAAAAGAAGAAAGGGACAGTAATCTGCTCCCTAAAGTTTAGAGCCAAAGACACCCTCTGAGGCGGTTCTATTCTGTCCCGTAGGGTTGCTATGACTCGTGATTGAATTAATGGCACTCAACAACAGCAATAATGATTAATGACAATGAGCAGCTTTTTTGTATTTGTTGCCTGCTTAACTATGCCTTTAGTTGAAGTATTGTTTTTCAAGTCCTTGTCACTGTTTTTAAAACATCTTTGTGTTGTTAAGTACATACATATATATATATATGTGTGTGTGTGTGTGTGTGTGTATGTATATGTATATGTATATGTATTTTGGATGTTAGATCCTAGTGGGATCTAATGTCTTCTTTTTAAAAATATAAATATGATGCTTTATTAAGTCCCAAATATCGATCTTATCTTCTGCAGCTCATGTATTTTATATTTAATGATATATTTGACAATATATCATTAAAGGCGGCAACTCCCCACTTCCCAAAAACAAATGCCCAAACTCTGCTCGTATATTGTTACAACAATGTTCTAGTTTTCAATTTTTTCATTTAGGCTCTTGATTCATTTTTAATTCCTTTTTCCCTATGTTGTAAGATATAGCTCTTGTTTCACTTTTCTGCAATGCCAATCGAATTTCCCCAGTACCATTTATTGAAGAGGCCGTAATTCCTCCATTGACTTCCTTTGTCAAAAATCGCTTGATTGCATATACAGCTATGGGAATATTTATTTTTTCTCCATTTTATTCCATTGGTCTATGTGTCTATCAGTAAGAGTACAAGGGTTGTTGAATATTGTAGCTGTAGAGTTATGGAACTCTAGCTGTGTAATAGTTAAGCGCCGAGATGATAACTGAAAGGTTGGTTGTTTGAACTCACCTACCAGCCCAGGGCAAGAAAGACTTGATGACCTGCTTACATGAATTTCCCAATCAACTAAATCCTACAGGACAATTCTCTCTCAAATGGAGGTACGTTGAGTCAGAATTGACTTGATGGCATCCAGTAACACCAGCTATATAGGAAAGTTTGAAACTGAGAAATGTGTTTCCTCCTACTTTGTTCTTCATATTTACTTTGGATTTCCTGCCTTTGGTTAAAGATTATGTTTTCCATTTCATTTTTAAAAGCACTGTTGAGAACTTAATCACGATTGTGTCAGATTTATAAAATCCTCTGGGTAATATTAATATTTTCATGATAGTCCTTGAAACCATGAGAGAAGAATGTCTTTCCATTTATTTAAGTATCTTTTAGCCTCTTGCACCAGTGTTTTTGTTTTCATGCACTAATCCTAAACAACCAAGTCAAAATTTATTGATATGCATTTTTTTTGTCTCAGAGATTATTAGAAATAGATTTTTTTTTAAAAAAAATTATATTCCTTTTTTCATTTTAATTGTGATTTGGGTGAAGATTTACAGAGCAAATTCACTTTCCATACAGCAGTGCACACATACTTTGTCTCATGTCATTGACCAGAGTTTACCACAATGCAACAGTTCCCTTCCCACTTCCTCCCCAGTTACCTCTTCCCAGTGTCCATCCCTCCGTACACTCCTGCCCCCTGAGCTGTCTCCCTGTGCATAAGCAGCCCTTCTTTCTCCCATGAT